GTTGGTTTGCAGGGAAACCAAATGGCAACCGCCCATGGGGTGCCCCGGTTTGACACATATGTGGTTGCAGCTGAGGCTGGCACTTCCCACGCTGCCAGCGCCTTGACCAGAAAGCGACGCACCAATGCGACAACACTAACAAAGTGAATCAGCGAAGCAGACATCTGCCCGAACAACAGACGTCTTTGTAAAACAACAAACAGCACCAATGCCAGACTACTTCTAAATCACAACGGCTCTCATGCACCCAAAAGCCGGTGACGGTTGGAAAGAAGAGGGCTGTCAGTGTGCTCTCTACTGCTTCCCTCTTGTACACGTTCAACTTGAGCTGATTCCACATTCATGTTCTGCCAGTTGAGTCCCAACATCAGGACAAAAGGAGCGTTCAATAGAAGAGGCACGCTTGCCTCATGCGCCCCAAGAAACTGGTGCTCAAGGGCCTTAACGCGTTCCAAAAGCAAACAACCTGCTATTCGAATGGACAAGCTGACGTTGGGGTCTGGTGCTTTGGTGAGCGCTCAATGAAACTGCCCAGCAAACAAGTCCCAGCCACAAAGTGAGGTTGAGCACCCCAGGAACAATGAAGAACTAACAGCAGCCCAACACCATGCAAGGGGCCCCCAACAGGGTTTTTCGCTTGCCTCTGCTTTCCCTGTGGTCCCCAGCATCGGCAGCATCATTTGGCGCTGCTGTTGTGTGGATGAGGGGCGGATTTTGAGCGGCGACCACTCACTGTATCAGCTGTGACAGATTGGCGTTGACTCTTAACTGGTGTGGATCCCAGAGCTGAAGCTTCAAGCTGAGGCTCCCCTTGAACTCCGTGCCTTAAAGCTGAGCCTGCAGCTCGCCGAACATGTTCTCCCGGCCCCGCACCCTGCACCCCTGCACCACGTGACGGGCCATTCGGGCCCCCACAAATATGCGCGGCGCCCAGTGCCCAAGACCAAGGCCGTGCCTGGCCATGCCCGTCCGGTGATGGATGCATGAAGACCCCTCTGAATCAAAACATTCATACATTGGAAACCAGGAATCCCTCAACAAAGCAATCCAATATTGAGAAGAAGAGAAAAATCAGTGAAAAAAGGGCATTCATACCTTCATACATTCATACATTGGAAGCAAGCAATCCCGAAATAAAGGATCTTCATGGGTGAGCTGGGCTTACCCCCAGAGTCGCCCCAGAGCTCGGTATGTCTCCACAACCTATCACAACTCGATTTGGGCTAGATGTTGCTGCCTTGCTTGCCACGGCCATTTGGCAGCCAGCGAGGAAATTCATCTTCGGATTCACAGCCATTTCTATTGATCACAGGAAGAAGTGGCAGCGCGTTCACAAAGTTGGCGCATGTATATCCAGGATTGGGTTCCCGGCTGTCCGCGGCGACCCACATCAGCTCAAACCTGAAGGCTTCAAACTCCCAACTCAGCAGCCTTCCAGAACCAACTCAATTGTTGGCTAAGCGGACGGTGACCCCATAGCTCACGCGCGCACACGCAGAAACATACTAAACACAAAATATAACCCAGGGAGCCCAGCCACGATGCGTCCATGTGGTGTGTGGAAAGGGGCAGCCTGAGATCAAGTGCCACAGCTGAGAGCCGAGCTTGTGGCGCACAAGCGCAACGTCTGCAGAAGCCTTCCAAATCAGCTTTGTTCACTGCTTGGTTTGTGTAAAACCACTCAATATGTTCTGTGATCCAATACCATTTGTCGCCTCTAGTTCGGGGTCCTACAACTATCTCGGGGTTCCCCTTTAAGCATCACCAAAGGAGTTCTGCCACACTCAGCATCTATCTCCCTGGCAGGCGTGCAAAGCCAGTCCTCCAAGGCTTCTGCACAGGACTCCGGCGAGCTGTCCTTCGCTCACGTTTGGGCGTCTGTTCATGAAGGTTGAAGAAAAATTGATCCACTCCACCCATCTGTTCATGGAGTTGAGGAAATGTTGGGTTGTTTTGAAGGGAAGCAACAGGAATCGTGGCTCACTTTGGGTTTTTGCCGTTTAGCATTTTGCCGGATTTGCAGACGTCCACACCATGCACAAACGCCCCTCCTTTACAGCATGATGCTCAACCAGAAATAAAACAACGTTGCCCACACATAGGCCCATTTTGAGGGCAGGTCTAAGGAGGCAGGGAAGTCTACCGAAGGGTGCGAACAACTTCACCTCGCCCATCCAATTGCACCCGTGTCAACGGGTCGTTGAATTGCCACTTGCTGTTTTGTGGAATCGGCTCGAGATGCCGATTCCCTGAGTGGGCAGGTGTTTTTGGGCACCTGCCCAAGACCAACGTATTTGAACGAATGCCAAAAATCCAAAGCCAGTCCCTTAAGAAAGGGTTCCACACAGATGCACCAGACTTCGCCAAAGTTTGCCATTCTCCCATGTTTGAGCGCCTCAAGCCATTGGGGCTCCAGCCTTGTTGGTACACGCAGGCTCGCCTGCTGAGGCCGGCGCCTTAGCCCAAGGCGATCAAAAACTCCATGCAAAAGGCTCTCATTTCGCGAACCCCTTCCAAATTCGTAAGCCGGTTGGCACCCTTTTTGACCTAAGATCTTCTTGAGGCTATGCATAGCTGCGCCTGCTGTTGTTTCAGATGGGGTTGGTGCTTGCGTCAGAATGGCAAATAACTCCTGAGGCAAATCGCCGTCAATGGAGGTGCACATACGAAAGGCTCTTGCGGACTCAGAACTGCAGAACCAAACTGTCGGCTAGTCCAAGAGGCTAATCAAATCTTGCAAGCCCAAGGACAAAACGCAAACGCAAACCTGTCAAGTTTGGATAGACCATGGGCTAACTCGCATGACCTGGACTTTGGCCAAATGAGGGGTGAACAAATCCAGGTGCGACCTGCCCACGAACCCGCCAACAGCACACAGGCAAATCCCACACCATAGTGCCATAGTGTGGTGGAGGACTGTATTGATTTTGGCCTGGCCTTCTGTCAGGCTGAAGGATGGAGGGTCAGAGCCCAATTCAGCAAGGGTCAGATTGTCGCACCAAGCGTTTTTTGACCGCATCTCGGAATCTCAGGCTGAAGCTACCGTCACGACGATCTCGCCTCGGGGATCACCCGCGTGCTAGCAAATGGTCACACAAGACTCACAACCAATGTGTCAAAATAGGGTACCCCACAATGGTGTCCACTTGGCTTCCCTTTAACCAACCAGTAAAAGGTGGCCTCTACAAGAAACACGTGGCCATATACGTGTCCTGTCGACATTGCTATAATTCACCAAGCAGCATTACGGAATCCATAAGATCAAGACCTTCTTCGTGGGCCAACAGTTGAGCTTTGCTTCATTTATCCATCCGTGACCAAAATTCCTGGTGGGTGTCCAAATCCTGCTGGTCAACGGTCATCCTTGTTGTCCCAGCGAATTTCGGCATATAGAAACCTGACGCTGCCCTGGACGGTGGCCCTTGCGGTTGATGAGCAAAAATGAACAATATTCAATCCCTGGCTGATTGGCTGATTCACCAGGGGTATGGGTTGCAGCACGAATCCTTCACTATCCTGGCAATCGAAAACCCCCTTTGACCATTGGAGTTCTTTTTCCAGCGCAAAATTGCCATAAGGCACGCACCGCCCAATGCTTGTGACAACGCGGAGGCGAATCTTTGCGCCTCGTGGCGAAATACCAGGTCTTTTCAGAGCCTGATAGGTCAACTGCTTGTTTAGGGGATGTGAATAACCGCAGCTCCGTGCCTTCCCACAACGAAAGCCTCCACTAGTGGCTTCTCCATGTGCAAAAGGTCCCTCTGATTGCAAACAAAACCCGTTGCATTAAAAAAAACGGAACAAAGAGGATTCTGGCAAATAACCTGGTTTTCCGAATCCAATACCTGCTGGTTTTCGGACACTGTGTGTTAGATTTCGGGCTCTTCTGAGTTGGTTACGGGTTTTGCATGGTTGTTTTGTATGGGTGTATTGCGTTTTTTTGAACAGGTTCTCAAACTCAAAACTAGCATTTCGGTTTTGAAGGCTATCCGGCCGGAAACCAGGTTTTTGAGATGGATCCTCCTTCTTAGTGGGTGTCGGATGTATAAGAAAGGAACCCAAAATGCCCTTGAACCTCAATAGGGGAATGCCCTTTGTTGGACATAAATGTCCCTGTGCGAATGAAGCCCTAAAGCTCCCCAAGCAGTTGCCAATTCAAATTTAGCGCCTACATGGCAAACTTCTGGCTCTGTCTCCGGCTACCGTGGCACCCATCCTGCCTCTGCCTCAAGTGTGCCATCTGCGCTGAGCTGGACGGTGCCCTAAGCTGTTCGAAGCCCCTGGAAATTGTCTCAACCCCAAGTCACCCACGTTCCAATAATAAGGGAAATGGACACGTTGAAGAGCCTTTTCAACAGGACTCGTCTTCCAAATTTTTCTGTCAGCTATGAATCAAATCCCCTCGCCGACTCGCTGTGGGTTTCTAAGACTGGCGCCTTTGACCACGCTTTCCTGAACCAAGCAGTGCTGGTCACGGCGACTGGCAACAGTACGGCGGATGGCGGATCACCTACAAAACAGCCACATAAAAAAGGGGTCGTAATGACGCTAGAAAAAGACAATACAAACCAGCATTCCAAGACGCACCCGGATTACCTTACAGCAGGGTCGTGGCATGATTCCAAGCTGGCAACCAGCAGAGTGGTTGGACAAAAACTAGAGAACGATGTTCCGTTCACTTGATTTTTGATTCTGCAGCCAAACGAAACAAACACAAGTTGTTTCGCAGATTCATGCGGAACTTCCGAGCTCCACCTGCGCCGAGGTCCTTGACATGCGCACAGGTGCACACCAACCAACGTACAACGATCGAGACTGTAGACGCCACAAGTCACTGTCGTGTCTATTCCAGGTAACTCTCTGTGATCTTTTCGCAATGGGGCCGGCCGGCTCCATGTAAGGGTCAGAAGGAAACTCCTGGTAATTACCCTTTCAGAGTACATTCCAGGGCTGGGATCCATATCTATTAGGTCGGCAAGATGCCAAGCTGCTATTCACAGCTGTGCCCTTGCAGGCCCCATGGGTGTGTCTCTTAAATTGGGGAACATAGAAAATGGCATGTGTTTCGCTATTTCCTGTAGTTTGCCTCTGAAGCAAGCCCTGAAAAGGGTACCATGAGTATCCTAAAAGACACACCCTTGTCAACTTGGGAAAAGAAAGCCCCAAGGCCAGGGACATGAAAGAAAATTAGACTGACCAGCTTCCAAGCAACACCCGAGACCAAGTACAAACAGCATAGAGCAAGGCATAACAATCTCATCTGAGCCGGCCATGTGCCTGACCAAAAAAACACACAAACACACACTCATCACAGGGAGAATGTGCACTGGAAAAATCACTGTGGTTGGCTCTGCGGCGCACACCCAACAGGGACCCTTGTGCGTGTGTGCCAATTTGTCTAGGCAGCCGGCACCGTTCCGGCGAACGGCCAAGACCAACCAAGCAACCATTCATACGCCAATCCGAAGTATGCAATTCAATTATTGCCTCCATCCGCTTGTGACTTGGAAGGCGTGGTCCAACATGTCCTTGGCCGCTGCCATGCGCCACAATCAAATTATCATAGCTGAAATGACCCGTTTTGGCTGTTGTTTTGCCCGGGGGGCGGCAAGTGTTGGGCGGGATGAAACAGAACAACGGCATTGGACAGTCAACCCGCTGCCAACGCGTCACGCGTGTCAAACGCTAGCAAAAACGACGCTGTCACTGTTGTCATGTCCAGGAGGCAAAATGGTGTCGCCATATGATGAAAATTACACCAGCATAGACCCCAGATAGCAATGATTGCACACCAGCACCTCCAACAGCACCCTGCGAAGAGCGTCCCAAACAGCACCCGGCCGTCAATCGAGCACCCGCGCCATCACTAGCACCTCCAACAGCACCTTAAACAGCATCCCAAAACAGCACCTGCAGCAGCACCCCAAACTGCATGCCCCCTGCACCCTGCCGTCAATCTCGCAAAAATACGCCTGCACCGTCACCCTATAAGAGCACCCCAAACAGCCCCCCAAACACCCAGCAGCACCCCAAACAGCACCCCAAAACGTCACCTGCACCAGCACCCCAAGCCGCATGCCCCCTTGCACCCGACCGTCAAGATGCAAAAATGTGCCTGCGCCGTCACCTGCATGCCCGATAGCACCCGGGCGTCAATATCGCAAATTGCGCCCGCACCGTCACCAGCACCTCAAACAGCTCCCCAAACAGCATCCCAAAACACCACCAGCACCAGCACCCCAAACTGCATGCCCCCGTGCACCCTACCGTCAAGATGCAAAAACACGCGTGCACCCGTCACCCCCAAAACAGCCCCCTAGCACCCTACCGTCAATATTGAAAAGATGCGCCCCCACTGCCATCAGCACCTCAAACACCACCCCAATCCGCAAAAAACCAGCACCCCAAACTGCGCGCCCCTTAGCACCAGCCCATCAACCTCGCAAATCACTTCCCCCTCTTTGTTGGAAGTTAGAACTTATAGCTTTCAGCTATCTGGGGAAAAACGAGTTTAAAGACGTCCCCTTTTCCATCCGACTGCCAGCCAACACCCCCTTCAATGCAAACACAAACTTTGCAAAATGACCAGTGAAAACAATGGCTTTGCTCAGAAGAATGTTTTTTGGCCAACACTGTTTCGTGAATGTAAGAGGCTTTGGAGCGTTCGCCTTACTCTTCTGTGCGTGTTCAAGAACTATGTGATAAGAGCGCAGGCAACTTCGTCTTCCACAGCTGCTGCGAAGCCTCGACACAATTTTTGGATTACGAAGCTTTTGCCAATACTTTTGACAATACGAGTTTCTTTCATAATCTCAAGGATCGCTTTCCAACACAAAAGCAAACAACTCAAAATTAGCCAGAATCAGCACATCCTGTGTCACATGCTGCTTGACAAATCAAGGAAGGCTTCGGCAAGCCTAACAGTTTACAACACAAAGCCTCCCGCCCCCGGCAAGGACCGGATTCATAGGGGAGGTGATTTTTGCAACCTGCCAGGAGTTTCTTGGTGAACTGACCACTTCCAGTGGCATAACCCTAGCGCAATGGGTTTCGCATCGCAGACAGTGATCTTCGTAGAAGAACTGTGGCAATTCCAGGCCCGCCACCGGCACCGGGGGTACATTCAGAAACCCGTTTTCAAAAGTTCTCCAACGCGCTCCATCCAATGCACTCAGAGGAATGAAAAACACACGAATCAGAATGGCAGTAGGCAGCTGGAAGAGCATAAGGGGTATGTCGAGGAAAACAGCATTTCAGACCGTTGCAAGAAACCCGCTCCCAGCAAACATTGCAAGACAGACTCGCCTAGATCGACTGGAGACAGGTGTCCAGCACTGCGCGGCGCTCCCCTTGACGAGCGACATCAAAGCTGTAACTTTCTCCGCAAACCACAGCCCATGACGCTGCGGATCTGCTTCACCGCTCCCGGGAGTGTGGCAACACGCAGAAGCTTCGCGCGGGGAATCCTGCGCAACATCCGAGGCATCAGAAGCCACCAAGAACGTACGGCGAGCAAGGCAGGCCACAAAACTGCCAGCTGGACTCGCCGCTCCCAGCAACGCAAGGAACGAAACGGATGCCACCTTGCTCTCCCAGCCAAGCAAAGAAGCACTGCTGCTGCCGGGCATTCCACGGACTTGCCACTCCCGCCAAAGCAAGCTACGAAACGGACGCTGGGCTTTGCGCGCCCAGCGCAGCAGGCCATTGAGATGCTGGCTGCTACCTGCGGGCCCCCCGCTGCCGGCAAAGCAGTCTACGAAACGCACGCTGGCCACTAAACTCGAGGTTCACACTCCCAGCCAGGCAGCCAGTTAAACTCTAGCTGCTGGCGGGCATTGCCGTCCCAGCAAAGCAAGCAACGAAACGGACGCCGCTGCTTGACACCGCCGGGCCCTCCACTCCCGGCAAGCGCATGCAAGAACATGGATCCTGCTGCTTCCGGGCATTCCGCTCCCAGCAAAGCAACGAACGAACGAAACGGACGCTCTCCCGGCAAAGGAAGCAACGAAAGCAAGCTACGAAACAGATGCCGCTCCTTGCTGAGAATCACGCTCCCAGCCAGGCAGCCTGTTAAATGCTAGCTGCTGGCCGGCATTCCACTCCCAGCAAAGCAAGCAACGAAACGGACGCCGCTGCTTGCCACCGCCGGCTACGAGACGGATGCCGCTCCTTGCTGAGATTCACGCTCCCAGCCAGGCAGCCCGTCAAACGCTAGCTGCTGGCGGGCATTCCACTCCCAGCAAAGCAGGCTACGAGACAGACGCCGCTGCTTGCCACCGCCGGGCCCTCCACTACCGGCAAGCGCAAGCAACGACATGGATCCTGCTGCTTCCGTTCTTTCAACTCGCGGCAAAGCGAGCTAACGGATGCCGCTCCTTGCTGGGCTTCTACTGCGACTGCCTGCTGGGCTCTGCGCCCGCCACGCGTCAGCCACAGCCCTGCCATGCTCCATGGCCTCCTCGTAGTTCAAGTAGCAGGCCAAGTCCGAATCGTCGCAAATGCCTCGAGCAGTGCACCAATCGCGGACCTTGGCAGCTTCCACGGCTGCGATGATCGCCTTCTCTTTGAACAGAGGCCATGGCAGAAAAGAACAAACAAACAAAAATACAGAGTGCTTACAGCACTTGACTCCGACGATCCATTTGGGATCCTTTAGCCCTGTGCATGTACAACATGAGGCACACGAAACCATTCAATGGCGACGGCCATTGGCTCAAGCGCTGGAAAAAGCGCGACCTTTTGCATAGACATAACCATAGGTTATGAGCCCAACCTCTCCGAGGTAAAGCCATGATTCACAGGCGCCGGCGAGAAGTGGTACGGGATGGAGAGACTGAGGCCTTGGACCGCCTCATCATGGAGCGGGTGCAGGAGGAGGAGCGTGCATCGCGAAGGACAAGGTCGGAGGATTTGGAGGACCGGCGGGGGATTCGCCGGGTCACCGGTCCGGAGCGGAGTGAGCCCAGGGTTGGGGTGAACGTTCTTCCCCCTCCAGGGCTGGCGCCGGAAATGGCGGAAGATGGACTTCGCGGGCAAGGAGCTCTATGGGGTCCCCCTGAAAAAGGAGAACAGCCCGGCCAGCAGGAACGGATTCTGGAACGGCCAGGTGAACCAATTCGAGAGCGGGGTGGAGGTCAATCCCATCCTGGTGGGTCTCGAGGGCCTGGGTCTGGCGAACAACCTGGGCCAAGTGAGCTATCTCAGGAACTTCGAGGACGTTCTAGGCGCATGGCGGGCACTACCCCAAGGGCAATTATTGGCTGGTGGAGAAGGCCAAGGACATTCGGGAGTAAGGCATGGTCATGATTCGGGTGAACCTGAAAGGCATGGTCAACTGCGTGGACCACTTGACGGGCGTCCTTCAGCTAGTCGAGAACTACCGGCTCATCAAGGTCAAGGCCAGGAATGGGAAGTCAGGCCGAGACAGTTGGAGCCCTATGATAATCGGGAGA